GATTGAGAGGTGTGGGTGTTTTCGAGATTTAGGTCATTGTAAATTTTGGGGGGGTTTTGAGGGACAAAACCCTAATTTTTGGGGATTTTGAGGGTGAAATGGCGGAGATTAGGAGAGAGAGAGGGCGGCGGGGGAGGTTTTATATGCAAAGGGGTGAGTGAGAAAACGGGAATAAACACGGTCGGATGCCTGTGAAAAAGGATAGGGTTATTTGCATATATACCCTTTACATCATGTGTATTTATGAAGATTACCATAGTATTTACTAACCGACCCTTCAAATCAACTTTGTGAAAAAAAAATACTCTTAAAATCAACAAATCATCAGGCAAACTAATTTGTTGGCAGTTTTTAGATTACGATTATAAATTAACATATCAAAGTTGATGATTAATTGATTTGAGGGTGATTTTTTCTTAAAATTGATTATTTGAGAGGTAATTTCATAAGTATTGAGGTTTAGAGAGCATTTTTGTAAATACCTATGATTTAAGGGGTATATATGCAAATAATACAAAACTATAATAGGGTGTACTTAATTATGTAAAAAATGTGTGATTTTTTTTTAAACTTTTACAAGGACTCCTTTGTGCTTTTCTTTTCTCTTCTCTCTTCTGTATTGTATACGAACATTAGTATTTGTTGTGTGAAAGTTGGAAACAAAATGAGTGACACTAGGGGCACACCCCCAACCACAACTTCAACCACGCTCTCTTTTTCTTTTGCTACAGTGTACACTGTAACAAAAGAGAAAGAGAGTGTGGTTAGAGTTGTGGTTGGGGGTGTGCCTCTATCATTTTCCAAACAAAATTAATGAGCGATGGTCAAAATGTTCTGAGGGCTATGAAGCCCTTAAGATGCATTCGGACAAAGAAGAAGGACTTGAATAATTTTTCTGTACGGAGGGGAGTATACGCACTCCTAAATTTGCTGTATTGAACTTTACCGGTATATATTATCAACTTTTCTAGTTGTTTCTCGTGTACACATTTTATGATGTTTACTGTGCTTTTATATCTTAACTCAAACAAATCAAGTTTATCAATGTCTAAATTTAGCAAACATAGGAAATCCGATACATACTTGAACATTAGTTAGAAACAGGCGGAAGAAATTAGTGCATAATTCAACTTCAAATCCTAAAATTTTTGGTCAAATAAATGATAAGAGATAATGTTGATTTTCTTGTTATTAAGAACTATATTCTGACGTTTGAAACTATAACCCTTCTAATTCGAACTCCAGCTTAACCAGTGAACTAAACCAAATTGGCAACAAATTCATTGGAAAAAAAACGCACGTATTGCGTTCTGCCTCAAACTTTATCAAGTAAACGACTCGTAATTAAATTTAGATCAACAGAGGGACGCCAACAAAATTTAACAACTTTTTTTTTTTACTTCAAATAAATCCTCAGCGGTGCACAAACGCGGGAGCAGCGCGAAACGCACACGGTGCCAAGTGGCGCGTAACGAACCGCGGGGCAAAACGGTGATAATTCACACGCGAATACATGGACAAATTTTCAAAACCAACCTATTTGGACTTTTATTCCCAAAAAAAGACCCGTTTCACATTTATTTAGAAAAACCGACTTGGTTTCAGCCTCAGCGCTGAAACCAGGTCGGTTTTTGAAAAAAACTCTCCGAAACTTCACGGGAGTTGAACTCCCGTGAAGTTTTTTGAACTACGAAACTTCACGGGAGTTCAACTCCCGTGAGATAATACAATAGGGGCATTTTCGAGAGTTCGTGGGAATAATGGGTCTACGAAAACGAGTTGATGATTGTTAGATATTAATCAAACAGTCAAAGAATGATAAATTATTGGCTAAATAATCATATTGGTATTTTAATTCCACCCCATTTAACAAGAATGTATTTTAATTAGGCAAACTTGCTTTAATGCATTTTAATTGATTCAACTTACTAACAATGCTTTTTTTCTCGTAGGCGATCAGTTTTCCGGTGAGAGCTCGTCACGTGCGTGGCACGTGATGACTTAAACTGTTTTTAGCTGCTGATGTGACACGGATTTTTTGACGTTGCAGTGTTTAAAGGCGGAAATTAACACTCTAAAAATCCCAATT